GGGTTAATAGTACTTCCATTAAAGTGATTTCGTAACGGACGCCCGAGCCAATCAGCCGAGTACCTGATTCGCTAACTCCGTGCCACGATAACTATAATCGATTCGCTCGCGCGAAGGCACGCGCAGCTGCGCACACCGGCGTCCGCGTATAATTCAGCGACAGCGCAAATGTCGAAATCACCGGTGGATTAATCGCGAGGCGCGCGGTGTCGGGGACAGGGCGTTGTCTGCGACAACACGTGTCCCGAACGCGATCGACCGCCGGCAGATCGATGTGTCCACGCCGCGAGCTTCACCGACGCCCGTAAGTCGCCGGCTCCCGAATATCCGCGTCGAATATCCGGACCGGGAGAGCACAGCTGGCCGAGAATATTCGCGCGCATCAATTCGTAAGGGCGCATGCACGATTTACGAAATATCGACGCGAGCGCGGCCGGGCTTCCACGGGCGAAAGTTCCGCGACACGAACTTTACAGTCCGTCGAAATTATTCCTGGGCTTCGGCGAATCGAGCCGGCACGCTAACACTCTTTCCAGTAGAATTAACTACGCGCGGCAACCCGAATTTCTAGCTTCCCCGTTTCAGCTTCGAATTAGTTCCGCTAACAGCCGGTTACTTTCATTGAATTTTGTGTCCCGGTGCGTTTCGATTGCACAGACAGCGTCGAATCGTCGATTCGGAGTCGCCAGTCGAATGATCACAAGGTAAACGCCCCGATAAAGTTCGATTTGGCAAACCAATCGTTCACCGTATAATTGCGGGCCTCCTCTAATCGATATGCAAACTTCCAGCGGTATAAACTTCTCCGGAGCCCCGAGCCCACTGTCCTTTCCGTATAAACCAATTTATGCATCGATTACGCGTCATTGTCCCCGTGTTTAATCGGAACAATAGTCCCGAAATTCGCAAAGTTCTCCGTCGGCCGGGCGAGATACAATGTCCCGCGAGCCTCGGCATCGCCCGGCTCGAACGTAATCTAGGCACAGTCGCGCGTGTACCGGAGATACCGTGCGGGAATCACGGCGGAATTAATCGAGTCATAATTCGTCGCGGGGGCGGTGTATCTTCCTCCGCGCGCGCGGACAGTACGGCCGAGGAGAGGACGAGGACCCGGTGCAGTCGGTCAGATATGCGCGGCCGGGACCGGTCCCCGCATCGATATGGAACCGCACACGGCCCGTGCATGAGCTCGTACGTGCAGAAATGCACGTGCGCGTGGCGCCGCATACGGATGCGGGGGAGGGCCCGCGGCCGCGTGCTCCCGGCGTCCCTCGATCGCGGAAATTTACGAGCGGACACCGCTCCGACGCAATCCGCGGCCGAATATGACGACCGCCGCACGGAGTTTACGTCCTCCCGGGAATTTTCCCGCGGGTTCGATCGCCGCCGGCCACCTTCTCCGTCAAAGTAATGGCCGTTCCGGCGTTTATCGTCGACCACCCTGCGAAATTCTCGCTCCATCCGTGGTATTCTGTTTCCTCCTCTCGTCGCGCTAACCGCGGCTGCTCGATCGTAACGCTCCGCGGACGCGATCGGAGCTTGGGACACCTCGTCGGGATTTTCCGCGCGCGAGTTTAACGTTTCCCCAACTTTTGTTGTGCAAAGTCGAGTGGATACTTCTCCTGTAAAGGTGTTGTAATTCGCGTTTGAAATGGAGAATATTGCGTTAATTTAACCTAAAACTGGAGGGTATTGGAATGCTTTCAACCTGATAAACGTAAATATTATGTATACCTTTGAAATTCAGTTGTATTTACAACGGCGAGAGAATGCTCGCTGAATTCGAAATTAAACGTTTCGATATGTTTGCACTCTGCGTTGGTTCGCGTTACGGTCTTCTTAATTCGCGCGTTGCATCGTTTTTATTATTGATATTGCACACCGGATCGCGATACACTAGGAATGTTTGCGATGAATTACTCGCCGGAATTCATATTTAACTCGTCCAGCTTTTTGTCCGGCAATATTTTTCTCCGGAACATACGCAACGAACATGTAAACTCGTCGGTGTATTTTTTATAATTGCTCGTTTCATTCTGGGGAACGTTCGGCGGAGGTTTTTCCAGGATTCCGGAAACCGCGCGATTAACTCGAGTCGTTGGGCCCGTGGCTCCCGTCGTCGTCGTCGTCGTCGTTCACAGGGAGCGATGGACGAAATTACGAGCGACGGGGGTGGTTGGAACCCTGCCGCTGACTGGCCACGAATTCTTTGAAAACTCCGGAAATAAGAGAATACGAAGGCGTTTCATCGAGCGTCTGGGGATGACGGCTCGTTGGAAGTTAATTGAGCTCGCGGATATACGGCGTACCTGAAAAACGCGATACCGTCGAGTAGGTGTCTACACCTACGGCGCAACGCGCTCGAACAACGCGATTTCTTTGCCGAATTTTTTTCCTACGGAAGATTTATCGCGTTACCTAACCCATTATCGTGCGACTTTATCGCTAATAGCTAATAAAAGAACAAGGTGTTCCGCGTTTACGACGTTCGCGTTTCCTCCGCGACTTAATACGGCCAGCAGAGAAATAATATTTCGCTTCCTTTCAAAAATATACTATGCCTGATAACCATATTTATTAACCTTTCGCGCGCGAGAGGCAACTCTAAGTCACCGTCCCCTTTGATATAGGAAACCCATAAAACTCCGTGTTCGGTATATCACATTTTGTAAAGTATAATTACACATGAAATATTGAAATATAACAGTTCTACCCTACGATTCGTGTACTATTTCTATGCGACAGTATCGGGAATTCTATCGTTACTTTATTTGAAATTGAATATTATGTATAGGGGAGAAAACCTTCGAGCGCAGACTGTTCCGCGCAATATAAAGTCGTGTCCGTTTCAAAGTTATGAAACGAGGAATAACGTCGATTAAAAAGTCAGAGCTAAACGACTCTCCCGATTGCACCACGTCCCCCGACCCACCCGGTATAAGAATCCCGAGTTCCAGCGACGAGCGACGTAACGGTTCAACGAAAAACCACTTATTAATCCGTCCCATTAACGCCTGCAGCGTTGAATGGCATCTTTATGCGCGGCTACGTGTCCGCGGGACCTGGCCGGCGTCCAATCCGCGCGGGCGCGCGGTCGCGTGTCGCTGAAACGATAGAATAATAATTCCCGTGGTCCCCCCTAACGACCGAAAATTACAATTCCGTCTCGCGGGGGTGAGCGGCGGTTTCGAGCGGCTCGCCGCGGCAGAGGCGGACGAAAATTAATTTACGCTGTCCTTGAGACAGGGAGCGAAAGGGAAAAAGAAAATCGACGCCGGGAAACCTCGTTAAGGGTGAGCCTCTCTCGCCTCGCCCGTCTAGCGCTCCGCGGGGCCGTGCTAGCACGCGTGCTACAATTTATTGCGTCTTTCTTGCGCGTTAAAGCGTACTATGAACCGCATACCTAATGCTCGGTTCCCAGCTCGGCTGAATCATAAATCGTGCAGCCCTCTTCGTTCCTTCTTCGCCCGTCCCCGACCCCGGCCGCCCCTCGTCGGCCAACCTTACGCGAAGTCGTGTCCCGGGATCGTGCGCACCTTGAAGACCGACCACGGGCAACGACGTCCGCGAACGATATCTACTACCCTCGTAGATAATAATTCCTGTTACTCTTGTACACGCCGCACAGTGCGGCCGCGTATGGATAATACCTCGGAAATTCGACTGTTCGCATGACGAGAATTGAAGGTTACCGATGTGTTGCCAAGTCGTTGCTATTTCAAATGATTTTCATTGGAGAAATACGAATGTCGTGTAAAAATGAGAAATGTGGACGTGTTGTGATTATTGGTTTTAGATTTCATTGATTTTTGTTTGAATATCACGTTAATGGGGTAATACTGAGAAAGCAATGTACATTATTTGAACTATAGGGAGGATTAAGAAGACGAAATGATCCGGAAACCGCGTTAACATGTTCAGCGACGTAGCAGTACACGTTGGCTCTTCGAGACGCGCTGCGTCGACACACGTTCCCGAAATTCGCGAAGTTCTAATGCCGCTCGAACACGGAGGGTTACAGGGCACGGGAAACACGGAAACACTGTTGACAAAACGTTGAAACGCAGGAAAAGAGGCTCGCGCGTAATGGCGGTTCGGTGTACACGCGATCGAGATAAAGAGCAAATGGAACGAAGAACCACTGACTCGGCACGCGGGACACAACGCATCGATGGCAACGGCGAATGTAATTATTGGTTTGCTGTCAGCCGTATCTTCCCAATGAAGCTTAATCGCGTATCGAATTAAAACGGACCAGTTAACACTGCCGGTTATGAAACACCGTGACGTCCCGCGAGTTCCACCCGCGAAAATCCGTGAAAACGCACGAAAATCGATTTTATTTTCGCGTTACCCTACACTCCAACTATTTATCGCGTTGTAGCCGATGAAATCGCGTGTACGGCAATCGGATTGGTCCAAATCATTTGCTGATTTACCCTGAACCACTTGGCGAGTCGCAATAACAAATCTAATGAGCCTTAATGCCCAATAACACAGGTAGTTGCCATTTACGAGGGGATCAAACCAGTACAAGTGATTTTTAAAGCGGCAGCAATCTCTACGGGAATCGCGGTGTTTTCGATCAGCATTCGCGACCTGAGGACGGCGTTATAATTAGAGTTCCCGACTATAATTGAGATACAGGTCCCGATAAAGTTTATCTAGGTATAATTCGCTCGCCACCGTGCAATTAACGGCGAACAGCTCGACCGTGGCGGAGCTTAAGCCATAATTTACGACAGAAGGCGCGCGGACGCGGCCTCGAAAATATCGCTCGCGACGGAGAAAGCAGCGAGACGGCGCGAGGACCGCGACTCTCCTCGCTTCTTCTCCCGCCGACGCGGATTATCCGCCTCCGACGCGGAACCGTTCGATCGGTTCCGTCGTAATTCGCGGAATCCTGAAACGCGCGTCCCGATGATCGACTCCGGGACGCCCTGGAACGCTTTATCAGCGTCGCGGAAGAAAGAGCATAGAAACGTTCGGTTATCACTCACCGCTTTCACCGAATCGTAGTCCCCCTTCCTGAGCAGATCCATCAGCCTCTGCCGCTCCATTTCCTCCTTTGTCACGTACACCTTGTTCTCCTTGAACCTCGCGTCCCGCGCGTTCTCGTAATTGTCGCAGAGGACGTTGTGAAAGCCGATCGAAGGCTTCTGTTGCCCGGCATTCTCGATCTTGAACGATTCGACGGCATGCTCCGGGTAATCCTTTCTGGGCAGGTCCTGCTTGAACTGGAGGTTCTTCAGCAACACTTCGTTCACCACCGCGGCGCGGTCGTCGATCTCTCGGGAGACCGTTCTCTCGTTCTCGGCCGCACTGTCGAGTTTAAAGGCCGCGCCCTCGATCGCGCCCGCGTTCTGAAACCTGGATTCGACGGTCTGGTCGGCCACCGCGTTCAGACGAGCGCAAGCCTCCTCGGCCTTGAACTTTGCCGCTTGCCTTTCACTCTCCAGCTCGTCCAGAGGGATCGTCGCGGTCGACAGATTGCTATTCTCCCGCGTGTGACAGGGCTGGCTTCTGTCAAGCAGATTCTCGGAGTCGTACAGCACCTCCATGTCCTCGAGGATCATGATCGGCTCCGCGGCGTCTCGCTGCTTCTCCTCCTGTTGCTCGTTGGTGACCCCCAATGAACCAGTCCCGACGACTCGGGATTGTTGCGGGCCGAGTTTCGCGGCCTGAGGGGAGCCGGACGAATGGAACGTGACGAACGTCCTAGCGGGATCGGTTTGCTCCCGCCTTTGGCACATCGAGGACTCCTTCCTTTTCTCCGCGCCAGTCCTGGACCGTCCGTTCGGCAAGGCCTGCTGGATCTTCAGGCACTGGCCCAGCCCGATTTCGGGGTACCTGCAAACGGACGCCTCGCTCTTTTGATCGTCCTCTTCGATGGTCTCCAGGTGTTCGTACCGCAGCTCGCCGATTCGCTCGTAAACCTCCTCGTCTTCTTCTTCGTCCTCCTCCTCCTCTTCTTCCTCCTCGTACTCCTCGGTCTCCACGTTCGGCTGCAACAGCCCGACTTCTTTGGAAGGCGACTTGAAATCGGATCGACCTCCACCGTTGCCTCCTCCTCCTCCTCCTCCTCCTCCTCCTGCTCCTGCTCCTCCTCCTTCGCCGTAAGCGGAGACCTGCAAAGAAGGACGCAGCAGCGATTCGAGGTCATCCGCGTGAATCACTTGGGGCTGCAGGCTGCGCTCGTAAATCTTCTCCACGTGATTCGGCGAGGAATAATGCGATCTGCCGAGCGGCGAGTCGCTCGGGCAAACCGACACCTTCGACTTGACGGTGTTCTGCTCGTTCAATTGTTGCAGCCCACCGTACGCGGAGTTGTTCGGCTTGAAGGTGGATTGCGATGACGGGACCGGCGAACTCTTCGTCCGATGATCGGTTCTCGCGATCTCCTGGCTGCAGGGGATCAACTCCCGCCTGGGCAGAATCGGGGGCTTCCTAGCTTCTGCGGGCACGCTGCTGGGCTGAGGATTCCTCGGTCTCGTGACGCGTGACTCCTGTTGACCTTGGAGGGTCCGGACACGCGCGCCAACGGCACCGTAAACAGCCTCCTGCCTCGTCTGGTCCGCTCTGTTCTCTCTCTTGTCCTGGTGCCGGGCCGCGTACCTGGCCTCCGGTTCCCCGGTAATCCTCGCGACGTCTCGTGTGGGTCGATCGCCGCTCCTCGAACCTTCCATCGATTTACAGGCGGCGGTCGAAGCGACGGCAGCGGCAGCGGCAGCAGCATCGGTTGCTTTATCACCGGCTCGCGGTGAATCGCTCGTGAGAGCCGGCCGCCTACTTTCTCCGTCCTTATTTGGTGAGATCGGCTCGCCTTGGTCACCAAGGTTACTCGACAGGCCCTTCGGCCCGCCGCTGCTCCCACCCCTCGCCCTGTGCTGGCCTGTCTCTTCCTTAACGAGCGGTCTCGTCGCGCCGCTCGCGCTTTGATCGTGATTCTGCGATCGCTTGAACGAGGCTCGCCTGCAGGGGATCACCGACGGCGACGACGATGCTGCCGCCGTTGGGCTGCCGGTAACCGCGCCGCTTACCCCAGATATCCTTCCATAATCGGACTCGTTTCTGGTCTTCGCCAAACTCGTCAGCCGACTCTCCGCCGCGCCTCTGACCCGGCAGTTCCTGTCAGTCTGGTAGACCTGTCCGGTGTCCGCGACGTTGTCCGCTTGACCTTCGTCGTTGTTGGATTCCAACCGTCTGGACCTGAAGCTCGAGCTGAGCGGGCCTCTCTGGGGAATCCTGGACCCGGTGGACGGACTGATGTCCCTAGTCCTGGGCATCGCGTTGCTCGACAAACTGAACCCGTAATCTTGCTGCTTGCTCCTGTTCTTCAGCGCCAGGTACTCTTTGTACGTTCCCCGGCTGGTGTTCACGCCGACGTTCACCTTGTCCACTTTCCGCTCGATCTTCTTATCCGCGCGACTAAGGTCGTCGTAGCTGCACGAAGTCCCATTCAGTTTGTCCCGTCCCTCGTCGATCGATCGGGAACGCGAGTCCTGCCGGTACCGCCTCTGGCTCTTCTGATCGGCGCTGCTGTTCGACCTCGTCAACGGTTTCTCCCGCTGGGAGACCGGGAAATTTTGGCTCTGCGCCTGGCTCAGCCACTCGTCCACCCTTTTCTGAACTTCCCCTTTGCGTAGCAACACCTCCGGAACTTTGCCGCGGCTCGCGTCCACCGTCAAAGCCACCGGCGAGACCCGGGACGGGGAATTGTCCTCCGTTGACGACGGTGCAACGTGTTTCACGGATTCCTTCGGCCTCTCGCGAGACCGTTGCCTCACTTGCGTCTGCTGGTTCACTTTCAGAACTGGTTGAGGTTTCTCCCGGACCGGGGAACACTTTGGTTGTATCTTCGTGGTCAAGAGTTTCGATTTGTCTTGCTGCTGCAACTGTTGCTGCTGTTGTTGTTGCTGTTTCTTCTGCTGGTCCATCATGACAGCCTCGAAGTTTGTCACGTTGATGCTACCGACGTCGCTCAGGTCCGAGGATCTTCTGTAATCTAGATCCTCGTACTCGTCCAAGATGTTGTTCACCGACTGAGTGTCTATCGAGCTGATGCTCTTCGATTTATTCCTGACCACGCTCTCGTCGCTGCTCGAGTAACCGAGGTTCGGCTGTTGCGGTTGCTGGCGTTCCCGGCTCGCCTGCCGTTTCGGCCGAGCTTTCGGTTTCTGGTACTTCAGCACCGCATTTTCGTAACGCTGCAAAGGATTCTCCGGGCCGGCCTCAGTCGTTTCGTTCTTGCTCCTCTTCGGGCCGGGCGATTGCTTAGCGTGCCGATGCTGCGCCGATTCCTTTTGACCCGTCTGATTGAACATTGCTCCCTTCTGCGTGCCGGAAACCGCTGCCCCTCTATACTGGGCGTCCTGATCGGCTCTCGGTTGCGCTATCGAACGGAAGGTCGTGAAGCTCTGGCCATATCTCGTGCCTAGGCTCGTAGCGACCGTCTCTTTCGTGAACTCTCGCCGCGTGACGTTCGATCGGGTGCGCTGATGGTCGACAGCCGGTAGCAGGCCATCCTCGTCGACGAATGGAATGTTGCTGCCGGCGGTCAGGGCCTTCAAGATCATTTCATTGCTCATTTTCACCGGCCTCTCACATTTTCGTGGCGTACGTGGGAGAAATGGGCCCTCCTTGTCCTCCTATAACACACAACACGAGAGAGCTCTATAAATCCACGTATTTTTTTTTCACGTCAAAGCTATCGGTAAACTAACATATACCCATGAATCGTTAATATCTCCAACGAACAATATTACAGAAACTTATAATCTATTTCAGTTCTCATTCTCCCACCGCACTTCGCTGTTAATGCTACAGAAAGTCGAACGCTTCTCAATTACACGTTCCCCGAGTTGATAAAAACGTTGAATTCGGACTGCGCCGGGGCAGCCGCCGTTAGGCACGGAGTTTGAATGCAGCCGGCCCACTTTAAACTTGCAACGGATACGCTGCAAGCGTGGCACAGCTCCTCGGGGTTCCGTTCCGAAACTCGTAATTGGAAAGGCGGTGGCGCCGTTCCGAAAGAGCAGCAGAGACACGCTTCCGTGAAACGGTTCTCCGATCGGCTTCCGGTGAATCGGCGCCGGCACGTTTTACCGGCGCTGCTAGGAATATCCGGTAAGCTGGCCGATATCCGGCCGGAATTAATTCGGTTTTCGGGCCCGGGGCGCATTAGATATTGTAATGTTCGGCCACGCGCTCGTGCGTCGCATCGTTAAAGACCATAACGGCCGTTTCGAATTCAATATGCCTGTTCGGCCGGCGGCTTCGGTTGAATATTGACTATCCAAAAGTATATTCGCGTTCGTCGACGCATATTTATTCCGACGAGCCCATCCCCTCGTCCTCCGTCGAAAAACCAACTAGACTCCACCCGGATGACATTCCCTGCGGGAATTGAAACGCGTAACCTGAATATCGAATATTGGTAATTCAGCCTATTCGAGAGTGGCGGATCGCAGGGGGATTCCGATCGGAAAGCATCGAGGCTAATTATATTTACCGACGATCTCAGACGTCGCAAATTAATTTACATTCGTGTGCGCCGCGCCGCGTGGTTCCGTACGTAGCATACACTAAATAGCGAGTACGGCTGCGTCGGTTCGGCGAGTGCGATATCCGATAGCTTTCACGATAGCGGCGTTTTTTCGCGATGTTCCCGGCGCATTCAGGAAATCAGTGTAGCAGTACCTTACGCGGGAATAAAAGCTAATTTCATTCTCTGTAATTATCGTATCGTTCTATGAGAAAAATTCACCGTGATACTCGATTCGATCGAAACCTTCTTGCCGCGTTCCGCGCGCAGAGAACGCTACGAGCATATAAATATCTTTGATCATGTGATCAGCAATTAGTGAAAGGGAAAGGTCAAGCTCACGGTCAAACGCGTTCAAGTGGTTCGACTGAAGTGAGAATATTCTGTAGAATGCTAGTGCGAATCCTAGAGAATTCGCGACACGGGGTCCTCTGCATCGGCGCTCCGTCCGAGTTTCAATTCGCACCGGGGAATAAGATCACGAGCGGCGTAAATTGAATTAAACCGACGGCCCCTTTCAAACGTAGGTACTTCTCGCGGCTCTAACGATTCCCACGCGGCCCCTGCCCGGAGAACGATCTCCTAGCTGGAATTCTACTTTTAGATCGCTCGGCGAGATATCCCGCCGGTGGGCCACCGCGTTGCCACAAGATTCGTGCGTGGTCGCGGATCCCGTGCGTGCCTTCTTCCTCCCTGTCTCTCTCCCTCTCTTTCTCCCCGACACTCTCTTCAAATTGACCCACAATTAAGACGTCCGAGTAGAAAGCGCGAGCGAAGAAACACGGACTCGCGGACCACCATGAGGGCTGACCGCTAAACGGCCGACAAAGGCGTTTCTTTTCCGAAACAATGCAGGCGTCGCACAATGCTCGGACCGTAATAAAAAACGGTAAAGGGGGCAGAGGTGCGGAGTGGTGGGAGTGAAGGGTAACGGAAAGAGAAAGGGACGAAACAGAAGGCTCCTCGTAATTATCATCTCGAAAGGTACATTTCGCCTGTGGCTACAACGCCGCGCTGAATGCCCACTCGCTGGGACTCGGCCTGCGAAAACCTATTTTTCGGATGCACTGACCTAGATCCTAAGCGAGGTGAGGCCATTATTGCGATCGCGTTACGCGACAAATGCTATCGCCGCTCGTTGCTGACGCGACACCTTTTCCTTTGTAGACGGAAAAGTGATTCCATGAAAAATTCCCGTCAACGTGCGGAATTTCAGCGGAGATCGGAAATTGAATCGCGTCTTACGAGGAATCGTTTGCAATCGTTTGTCCGACCAATTTAGCATCATCTCGGATCAACCTCGTTATAACGGTTAAACGATATTTGCATTTCGAAAGGATGATAGAGAGCTAATAGATATGTTCCTTTAAAGAACACGTACGCTGCTGCGCTAATCAAAAAGAATGCGTCCGAGAACCTGTGTTTCCGCGATTAACAGACTCCAAGGATCCGGACACGCGTATCGCTGACCCTAATAGGTGGAGCGTAAGAGATGCATCGCGGTGATTCACAGTGATTACACGCGGCCAGCTAGATCCAGCGATATCGTCTCATTAACGCCGACAGCCTCGAAGGATATTTCAGCCGTGTCTAGCTTCTTCCTTCGTTCCGCGAGCGATGCAACCGAGCCGACGATTCCACGTTCACGTCGCGTCTTGTTTTCTTTCGGCTCAGAAATAACGAACGATCGCGCGTCGCTCGGAATTAATCCTTTCCTGAACGAATCCGCGTAATCGGCCGTTCCCCGGGCCGCGGCAGCGAATTATTAATCCGCGATGGGAAGAAACCGAGGCGCTATTAGAATTCGTGGAAGACGATTAGCTCGAGGAAACCATTAGGGGAGCCGATGATACGCGACGTCGGAGCCCGAGAAGCCCGCCGGCACCGGCGCACAGACGTAATCCAACGTCCTCGATTGAAATCTCGACCGGACAGGCCGGATCCCGATCGAGGCCCGACGGAATCAAAGAATTAACTCTGATTACGATTCACGGATTATTCGACGGTAATGTCCGAGCAACGCCGCGCAAGGAAAAACCGCTGGAAAGTTGGCGAGGACAAGAATCCTGGTACACCGACTTGTGTCAGCTTCGCTAGGAATAAATTCTCTTTTTGATTTCACAAGAACAGACCGTGAGACCTCTGAGCTGCTGGGATTAATAAACCGGCGAGAGCATTGACGGAGGAAAAAACACTCAGACAGGGAACGACGGGTCGCTGAGAAGTTCCATGGAGATCTTAGACGTCCGTTACAACGTCGACGAGCGATCACGAGGTCGAGCCAATGAAGAAACCGCTAAGAAGAACAGCCTTTTATCCGTCTGCGCCAGTGATAGAGTGCAACGCACGGGACCGTTGCGTCGTCTCACTGGCCGAACAGCCTGCGCGCTATCGTCGGGAGATCGAGATCGCGAATCGAGCAGAGAAGACGTGCGTCAATCGTCCGGGGACCACACGAGCAGCACGGTTTCGCGTTTCGCGTCCCGCGGGAGGCCGCGTACCCGCGAATGCCAATTACACACGTGGTCGATACACTTTCCTCGCACGGGCGTCGGCTCGGTTACAAAGTCGTCGACGATTCGCGGCACACTTGCCGTAACGCGCCGTGAACAACGCCTACGCGTTGGCCGTCGCGTGGGCGACCGGGACGACTCCTCTCCTTCGGTTGCAATTTGCACTTTTTCTCTCGCGTCGGAAATTCTTTGCGCGATAACGGTATCCGGACGGAGCGTCCCGATGAAATCGTGGGCGCGATCTAATACCGCCGGAATTATTCGCGTTTGTATTCTAAACAGGAAATTGCACGGTTTACTCGGTCGACGGGTCCAGTCGGCGGTGTCGCGGTTCCGTATTTCCCGCAGAAAAAACGAAACTGCTTTCGTGCGCCTTTTCATTTGAAACCGCAGCAACGCATAACGCAACAGGAAGTTAATGGGATTTTTCCGCCGATCGCGGAATACGTGATAATGTAATTATAGACACATTATACGATATAATGGTAGCGTTCGAGGGACGTGGAAATTGTAGGAAATCATTATGGATTAGAACTGGAAATCTTTAACGGCTATCGTTGTACCCCCGATCCCGAAGGAGCCTCGCCGAGGAATGATTTATGCCATTTATCGAAGCCATCGGGGAACACAAAAAGACGGTCACGTTGACGTTGTCGAAATAAATGATGGAAGGGAAGAAGAAGGGGACGTTACACGAGCAAGAAACCACGCCACGAGGGCCACTCCTCGATTTATTCGCATCCGGGCCACCCGGATTACACGAGGTGTAAATAAAGGCACCCCTATCTATCGAGGAAGCCTTTTTTCTCGACGGTCCCTGGGCGCGACCCTTTAAACAGACGCCTCTGGACCGGTGCCAGGGTCGACGGGACAGCTCGAGCAGCAGGAATTACGCGTAAACCCGGCGATTCGTCCATGGAAACGTTAAGGGAATCTCGAAACCGGGCAGGTCTTTTAACTGCGTCGTCTCTCTTAACGGACTAATAATCGCTGCACGCGTCAATCACGAATACAGCGCGGCGGGCGTTAGAAACGCTCGTTAAACGGGCTCGTTCGAGCGGCTTGTGCACGGTGCTTAAACCGTTTTGACCCTTCAATTGATCGCGCGACGAGATCTTTAATTTCGGCCGTCGTCCCTCCCCCCGTTTCCGTTCCACGATGATCGACAGACGAAGCCTCGATCCGCAGTGGGTCTTCGACGCAGCCAACGAGAACGCGACTTTCGATGTAACGCCGGAAATCGTGCAATTTGTCGCGAGCTCGACTGATTTTCCGCTTTCTGTGCTTCCTTTCCGTGTATCCGCGTCTCGGTTCACGTAACCGGAAAGCATAGAAGAATCTAACGAGAAATTCGATTCGACCGAAGGTAGCGAACGACGAACGGCTGGCGTCTTTGTCGAAGGATGAAAGATCGCGACGGACCCGTTTTTAGCGGCTGCCGAGTGAAAATGAAGACCCTGCGCCTTAAAAACCCAACGGCTCGACGCCGCTGTATCAGCCTGATAATGTCGAACCATTAATCTTTCCAACGGATTGCCGCGCTCTCCAGTAATCCACGAGATCGCGTTGCTCCTCGGCGTCGCTTGATCGCGCGCGCCAACGAGGACGATGTTTAAACAATTCGTGGAAGCTGTTCCTCGGCAGGAAAAACGAATCGCGCGAAGCTAACATTCCTTTCGTGCGACTTAATTAATGGGACAAAGCCGAACGATGTTCGCGAGTTCATTGGATTTTCACGCGAATACTGACGAGGCGCTTCACTGAGCCAATTAAAGTGCATTATCATCGGCATTTCGCGTTTTACGTGACCGATGGCATCGCCCGAGAATTTTTCTCCGCGGATTTGCGAGGACTGAAATACGAGCGATACGTGTTTCGAATATCAATCAGCCAGTTAAGTTCCACGGTATAAACGGGCGCACAATTACGGCCATGCCGGGTTACGCTGGATTTCAATGGAAAACGAACTCCCACGGTCCATATTCAAATTCGGCGCAGCGAAGGCAGGGCAATCCTAAATTTTTTTCCATCGATGAAAACCTCGGTATTTGCTCGAATTCGCGACGGTTACGTTTTCCGGAGTAATTAGCCTTCGGCGCTCTGAATATTTTTAATTCCGCTGCTCCGTGGAATTTCTTCAATGCTTTATCCTGCGATTAATGGTAGTCGCGTTTCATTCGATGTAGCCGCAGCGACGAATAATAGCCCTCGAAAAGCGGCGCGTATCTCTCCGAGCAACAATGCACTCGTCGTTGTTCGCTGTAAGGAGAAACATTTTCTCAAAAAATATTGTCCCGGCGATAGAACCGTCTTGTCAACCTAATAACAATGCATCAGACTGCGGAGGACGGTGAATAACTCGCGTCTCCGGGGCCGTTGCAATTTCTCGGAAAATCTGGGAAAACGAATTTCCCGGGATTAAGATTCGTAGCTTCCACGAAAAGTCTCTCTACCCCCGATGCATCTCGTGTATCCGTTCGTTCCCATTCTTCTCGATGGTCGCTCTGTTCTCCCCGAGTACCATCTGAAAACACTCGGCGTGCCCTTTCACAACCTTCTTCCCCCCGCCCCGCCACGTTCCCAAGCCGATGGGCTATTCACGGCCCTGACAGGGCCGGCCTTTGAGGTGCATGACCTGTGCAACTCCACCGAGAGAGAAAGACAAGAGAAAGGAGGGAAGAGCAAGGAGAAAGGGAGAGGCGGGAGAGCCACGCATAGAAATGCCCCGTGAAACGATCGCTATTTCTGCTCGTGTTGCATGCTCCCTTTGATCGTTACTCGCTGTTTATCATACGCGGCACGGTTTACAACTGTGCCACACGCGAGCTGTTACAATTAAGAACGCGACGTGTTCGGAAACATTTGCACGACTCAATTTCGCGAATCTTCGACTCTATGCTTGTCAATCGTTCCATCGACGCCGATCATCCGAGAGGATTGAAACTGGTGAATCCTCTCTATTAACTGCCAGATTGCGGATCAACTCGCAGACTAACTTCCAAACTAGCGATCTACGTAGATCCGAACTTGAATCATTACTTTTCGTCGTTCGAGTACCGCTCGCATCCACGATAACTACGATACGCATTCGCGCAACCGTACACAAACATCCCAGACTATTCTCCCGGCAATCCTCGATATTCAAAGGAGGCAATCTTCAGGAAATCCCTCGGCTCCGAGAAAGAGAAGCCCCTCGCGGTTCGTTCGGACCAAAATTCTCGCCACGTGGGGCCCGTTTCTTGGCCCGCAGATGTGCTCCCCAGAGATCATGGTCCCCGTTTCCCTTTTTATCTTCACCGTTCCGCCCTCCGCGTCTTCGTTTCGCGACAAGCTGGCACGGGAGAGAAGGAAAAAGGAAAACCGGCGGTCGTTCCCGCTCGCAAATAAACCACGTGCCCGTCCCTGACACCACGCGACGTGTCGTCCGCGTCTCTGGCGCACGATATTGCACCACCGCGATGCTCGATGCGCGCTTTTTGTCTACCCGGGCGCTTCTCGCGTTGCTTATTTACGCTCCTCGTTATTGCCGCGTATTCGGTCGTCGTTCATCTTTGCTCTCCCTCTTCCCTCGCGAACGGAGCAACGATTTATTCGCCGTAGAACGTTTCGAAACGGTGCACCGTTTCCCTCGAGTTTCGCAACGTTAAACTTTCAGCCGCGCGATCGGGGAAAGAAGAAACTCTGGAAGAGCGTGCCGGAGTTCGAATTCCGAATCGAAGGTTAACGAAGCTCCGTCTTTGTCCCTGGCGATGCTGCGCGCGAAGGAAGGCAGAGGATCGGGGGAGGAGGCGTTTCGGTACCTCGCGTCGAATCCTCCCAGCTGACCTCGCCTTTGATCTCGCTTTTGTGCCGGATACGCTGGTCGTTGCGTAGAGCGGTTCTTTTTCTCGTCGCTCGGAACTGACCGACGCCACCGCCGATGCGAGTGCATTCGCACGGAGATAACGGAACGCGAACGGCGGCCATCCGCGCGGCATTGTCCGGGGCATTGTCTCATTCAGGCCCTGATAATCGCAGGGAATATGAATCGGCACCCGTGAAACGTTCGTCCAAGCTTTATCGCGAGAGCGCGCGCCTCTTCTTGTTCGTTCGGATGCGGGGACGGTTATCGACGCGCCGTTTCTCGAATAATTTCGTATCAGTCGCCTCGCTAAGGCGTGCTCGGCTTCGTTGACGAGCGGAACACCGTTCTATAGCGTCGTTTAATCCCTCGATTCACGTCATTCTGTGCATCGCAGCAGCGGGAAATGATTTACAGTAACACGTGTAAACGAGTTGGGAACAAAGGGAGGTAGAAAAATAACGCGAGGCTTTGCGGGAGTAAAAGATTGCACTGAATTTCAGGAAATGTTCGCCGGTACAAAGCGTGCTCCGATGTAACCGTCTAGTTGGTCTGAGAACCACGTTCCGTTGGAATTTCTAAACTCGTCCGCGAACGGGACACGGCGTAGCAGCGTTATGGTTATACGAGTTTTCCTCTGCGAAGATCAAAGGAATCGCGAGTACTGTCGCGTATAAAAATGTCTCGAAGCAAGAGAAGACCCGAGGGCCACGGGAAAAACCGGGGGGAATTAAAATATTTCAGCGCGTTAACGACCGCGAACACGAGACCATCGGGGATGAAGACACCGCCGCGCGTGTACGCCGCGGAGTTTTCGAAATAAACGCGCAGCGAACCACGTCCGGCTCGTTCTCTGCGTTCGCTATTAATTAAAGCTTTTTATTGGATCGCCTTTTTAAAAATACACATCCGAAGCACATATTCTCCGACTAGAAACTTTCGCCGCTCCCCTCTCTTTCCCCCTGCCCGTCGCTATCTCCGTCCTTATCATTCTCCGCGCGCGTTATCCGCGGCGAAGTATCAGGGGGAAAAAAGGGGGGGGAAAAAATTTGTCTGCGGGATCGTTAAACGTAGATAAAAGTCTGCCCACGAAATACGTTACAGCTGTAATTACGCCGGATAAGGCCCGGATAAATTTATCGGCGGACTTGAATGTAAAAGGCGTAAAGTCGTCGACTCGCGGCGGCTAAGTCGGACGGAGCCGAAAGCAGACTGGCGGTAATGAGTTACCGCGCCCATGAAACTTTCTTTATTCGCGTTTTGCACGGTAACCGGCTCTCCGTCCGTGTCTTCCGATCGCGCGGAGCTAGCTACGCCCACGGATCACGTCTCTCGTCGTTCGATTCGATCCGCGTCGGAGGGGATCCACGCGATCGCTGTGTAGGATTCTCTCGTCAACGACACCGTAGTAGAACCGAGCAGAAATCGTTCGACACGTTACATTTGCCTTCGACAAATCTTCGAGCGCACTACTGTACGTGGATTTACAATTTCCGTCGAGATATTCATCCGTTCCTTCTATACGTTCGACGTGAAAATGTAAAAGAAGTGTAAGCTTCTTACAAATATTAGTGACAATTAACGCTAAACCTACCAGACAGGTGAAGATTATTAAAAAGGTAACGGATATCTAAGAAATTATTCGAGAAATCGATTTAGCAACACGTAAACTGAATTTTAAATCAATCGAAGTCTCGATGGGTGCAGCTTTGAAGTTGTAATTGAGGAATTTCAAAAAGTCCATTTAATTGCTCGGTAGGTTTAGTGTTAAAAGATTGCGGAGCTTCGATGAAGTGAAACTCGACTCTAGTTCGTTGAAGAATAATATTTTATCGTCACTGTTACATATTCTCATCATAGCTCTAGACAATGAATACGCCGATTAGAAGAAAGTAGTCCGAAAGTGTACGCGATACTTTTAATGAAACGCTTCCTCGATCAAGGAACGCTTCGTCCGCATCGAAACCACAATACGCCCCGAACATTCGACCGTACATTGTATCTTTAATTTCCGCGACGTGGTCGATTATTGCCGGTGCATTAACGAGCGCACAATTACCTCGGAGCTTCGGCATTAATGGAGCCTTCCAGCGAGTGGGAAAGGATAGCGCAATGAACTTCGATTATTGACCCGTTAATTGGGAAAGACGAGCTAATTTCTGCTTCGTTAGCACGCCAATTTTTCGTTCGTCAACGAAGACCATCCGCTCTACCGAATTATGTAAAAATCGATCCCGATGAAATCGCTTGGATCATATTAAATTCCTTTGAGTTCAAGCATCGGGAACGTCCATAAATTAACCCTTCGCATTCGAAAGTTAATCATCGGGAAATATTCAACGTATTCCGAGAAGATATAGTTAACATTCTCTGAAACCAACGAATAATGAAACACGCATAAATTCTAATATCATACGTAACTCGTTATAATTTCGCCGTACTAAATCAAGTTGCGACCAAAAGTCACCGCTAAAGAGCAAAGGGTTAATTACGGGATGTTTTCTTCCTCTCGTGAAGCAATTCGCTGCCGCATAACGGGAACAAGAGGGCCAACAGGGTCCATAGATCACGGCGTGGCCCAGTCTACTTTCCAGGTTCAGCCGTTATCGCGAGCACGTGTAAATGTAGGCGCATAATGTACGTACCTTGGTCGGCGCACCCGCTGGGAGCGGATCTCTCCTGCTGACTACCCCCGGTAATCGAGCGCGGCCGCGTTATCCTGGCAATTCCTGGCTGCGGTGGCACTGCGTAATTTCGTCGTAGCCGGCATTAACCGGAGGAGCACGTTGCCAGCCACTCGTGGACCATACTGCGGGCCATCGGTGATTCCTGATTGCGTCGAGTATTACTTGCCATCAGTCCGGCCTGTTTCCCCGAGTAATTCACCGATTCGCGTACCTCATGAATACTCTTCGGCCGATCGCGCCGGCACGCGAATAACATCCGTATCGAAGGAACGACGGATTGACTCTTACGATAACACGTTGACACGGTATCCAAGTTTCAACTATTGAACCGGATCTCATTCGCAAATCCTTCCTTTTCTCGTTCTACTTCGATCGGAGCTCCAAAAGAGAGAGTCTCGGCTCGCGAGAAATCGAAGCGTACGCGCAATCGGAGATCTCTTCTCGCCGAATGGCCACCGAAGGGAACGCGCAACGACAGAACGTCGAACGAGAGCCGAGCATTCCGTGTATCTCGCACGATCGTGCCGCGCAAACACCGTAATTTCGCCGGGTCGATTCACCGCACACGGATTACATTCCTTTCACAGGCCGGCCTCGCTGTCCGACGACGTAATCCTGGCTCAAGGGGTACGAGGAATCAATCACCGGCTTCTATTTTTGCGGTCCGCGACGAGACACCGTGTTAGGAGCGCGGAGAGAACGCGGCGAGCATCGTTCGTGGAACACTTCGCGTTCGCCCGTGGATGCTATTTACCGGCGCTGCTCCAAGGATTTTTTTGCTGCATCGTTTCAAGCGTCGACCGCGTTACACGACGCTCTCGCGTCTGCACGCGCGACGGAGAGATGATTCACTGTCATCTTTCACTCTCGAAAATAAGTCTTCGTCGCGATGGAGTCGACGCGATAGATGGAACACCGATAAATGAAGCTCTCTTTATCAGGGTCGAAGCGGAACGAAAACTTGTTGAAACTTCATCGAACTTCTCGGCGCGCCGAGTTCTAGGTCGAAAGATCGCGGCGAGTGCGTGACGTCGGTAGTCCTATTATTCGCGAACTTCTTCACCACTGCTCGTCGAACATCACAGCTTCACCCACTGACTGACCACGCCGACGAATCGAACCTTTCACGGCCGTCTAATTGTGGATCCAGCTCACTATCACCCCGACACAATAACTGACAGTTCAAATACTGTTATCAGTCGCGAGAACGCAGCGCCGTAGTCGCCGCTATCGCACGATGACGCGACAGAACGACGCGAGCCTTCTGTGGAACGACGATCGGACATTAATCACCGCGTCCCGGGCTTCCGGTTTCCGCAGGCCTACCGATCGCTGCGCTCGGTTCGACGCGGATCGCTGCACCTATCACGTTTATCGAACCTGTCGCGACTGATCCGGAGTCGAGATAACGCTCCTTCCAACGAGGGAAGTCTCGGATCTTATGCCCCTACCACGATAAAACGCAGACTCACATTATCACCGAATTACACAGCGGGTCCCTGTTCGTATTATGCGTCTCACACTTAGCTCATCTATTTCATTTATAACTTTGATCGGTTACCTTGTCAACGAACAAAAAAAATCAACATCGCAAATGAGAAAGAACCGACGAATTAGACCCCCTATTCCTTCCGCTGGCATTTTTTTGTGAGACGCATAGTACTCCATCGTCCCCGAAGCCCTTGGTTCTCATAGATTTCAATGAAATTCGTTGGGGTCCGTATCTCACGATCGGCCCAACATCTGCAGCTACAATTACGGCCGGTCGTTTCGTGGACACAGTCCCTTTACCCCGAATTTTGTTGAAATCGATGAAGAACGGAGCGAAACTTCCCCTGGCGGGGAACGATCGCGGCCGATTCGTCACGGACGAAGAGTAGAGGGCATATAAATCGTGATAACTCGTTGATACGACCGGAATGGCCCCGGGAACGAGGAATTAGAAGATGTTACTCCATTTCTTTCGTTTTTTTTTGCTCGGAGGGCGGGCAGATAACGAGGAGAAACGAATGTCGCCGTGGGACCGGGCGGGGAGACCGAAAAACGAACAGTCGGACGTAGTTCCCGGCGTTGGCCCCGACAAAAAGCAGCTAAGCCCCGAAGACAATGAATTTTGGATTATATCGCGGCCCGGTTAAAGGACGAGCGAGAGATTAAACAAGCTTAAGAAGCGGCGGACGAGCTGGATATTCTTCTTAAGAAATTAACTGAGGAGGATCGTGTAAGAGGGATGTGATCTTAAGGGTATTAAAATAATTGTCTGCCGGCGGCAGCCGGCCCCGACCCACGACACGGCCCGGATATTTCAGCCCGCGTGGAAATCCACTGCGGAAAACAGGGCTCGTGACGGCAGCTGATATATGCTGCCGCGTGTTCTACGAGAGGGAAAACAGAAACGGAGGAAGAAACCGGCCGGGCAGGGGCTGCTGGCTGCGAAACGAAACGGAGGAACGAGAAGAACGAGTCACGACTTGAAGAATCGTGGCACGATCATCGTGGAGCTAGTATTCGGAAAAACTCTGCGAAATAAGATAATCTGCTGAGTGGAACAGAAACTGGAGGATATAATCCAACAGTTTGGAACCTTTCTTCGATCTAACGTTTTTGCAGAACGATACGGGGAGTTTTCCTAGAACAGAATTCGATCGACTAGGTGCATCGCTATGGAAGATGAATTTTAAAGCGTTGGTAGTGCACGCGATCGATGCGGTAATCGATCGGTTGGTTAACTGGAAGGGAAAAGTGACCGTGAATTGACGAGTGGGATGACAAACAAGAGAAGGATCGACGAGTTTCAACGATCAACCACCCACGTACGGTACGTCGCTAACGATTCACCGGCAGACGATCCGAAATTTTGTCACGGACGTGAACATTCCTCGCGGTACGACATACTTCTTCTGTTAAATTGGAGATCTCACTGCACACTCTCTCTCTCTGTCGGTACGCGAAAAAGCACTTTGTCGGACGATTGAAGGGAACCGTGGCGCAGGCGCGATGCGCTGCATCGATCCTCTCGATCGCGCTGGCGCGGCAAGACTGCCGCGTGGATCGGGATCGTGATCGAGGGACGACAAACAGGGGCGGAGCAACCGGTGGTCCGGTTTCAGGGCCCTGTTTCGACCGCAGCGCGTGTCTTTTTTCGATTCTTCAGCTACCAAACTACTCTGCCTGTTTTTTCTCGTTTCAATTCGCGCCTACTTAAAAGCTACACATTCGTTCCTCGTGTTCCTGAGATCGCGTTATGTTAATCCTTCGCGGACGAGGATAAATTCCACGGAAAAATAAAGTTGTCCACCGATCTCCTGTTATTCGAGCAATTAACGCGTTCACTCTCGTCTTAAAATCGGTGACGGACGACAAAAACAACTGTTATTTTTCCTCAATTAATTGATTCTCGAGTTCGACTGAGATTTCATACTTTCAGAATAAAATGGCTGTATTTTCTTCTTGGTAGTACTAACGATACAAAGCCATTGCAGTCATTTGCGCTTACATTCACGAGCATTTGACGACTATAGACAGCATCTACTTAAACGAGTTAAATTATTTCTTCAACTTTGTATTCGAAGCACGAAAGCTCGCCGTCGCCGAAATGACGGTGTCCGTCCTCAGAGGATTAACTGGAATTTGTTCCAGCGTTACTGTCCGGCGTTTCATCGTAAAATGCCCGCGATAAGAAACGGAATTCGAGAAGCGGCACGCAAAAGCTCGGCGATGGAGTATACGCGTCGCGTAGCTCGAGTGAATCAACGACGAAAAACGGTAATGGGCGTAGGGAGAAGAACGGGACGGTAACAATTCTGTTCCAATTCCGAAGACAATTTCCGAGAAGAAAACACGGGGCTAGGATCTCCGATATTATTTTCGTTCAGCGCTCACTTCATAAATCGTGCTTCGTGCCTTCAATTCCGCGGACCCCGATACGGGAGAGGTACTCCGATTCCCCGGTTCCCCGAGGAGAATCGAGATTTCGGTCCAGCGAAGACAAACAGGGGAAACCGGGAAGAAGGATCGCGCGACGCAACGTGCCAAGCTCTCGTCAATTAAATTAATGAAACGTCACAATTCCATTCCACCAGCCGAGTCCGCCGCCTCCGCAAACAGCGTTTCAACGAAATTAAACTATCGGCGCCCGAGGGACAAACCACAGTCAACTTCATTCGCGGACGACGAGCGTTGCATCGATAATCACGTGGAAAAACGTCCGGCGCTCGCGAATCATCGTTGCCGCTCTTATTGACCGTCGATCTGGGTTAAATCTAAACGAGCTTCCCTTAATTTATTAGCCTGCGTCGTGCAGACCTCCAGCGAATCATTGTCGATCAAGAATTTTTAATCCTTCGGCTACTGAATGTTGCATCGAAGAGTATTTCTAAGGAAGTGTATCGAAACTAGAACACTGAATCGAACTGAATGAAACTAATCTGAAATAATCACGTTCGTATAATGCACAACTAACGGAGGACGTAACGTCGAATTAGAATTCATTTGCGTCGGATCTAAACGAGCTTCTCTAATTATTGTCAGTAACATTTTACGGGCGCCAACTGTACACCGAAACGAAATTTTTCAAGCGCGATTCGAGCACCAACAGCGGACGAGGAGTTAAAAGTTTAATTCCGTGATAAGAAGGATTCGAAGCTCGTAATCGGGATTAAAATATTAATGAGTAGAAACTGTATAACGCAATACGCTCCGTTCGTAGTGTAATAATCTGCCGGTCGTCGTTTAGTATCTGACATTTCATTGCTAATGGACGGTACGAGATCGAATTACATAGATATCGCTGCCATGTTGCTTCTTCACGGTCCATGGCCGGGGATCGCGTCTCGACGCGTGGATCCCGATCAGCGAGAGAGTCAGGAGGACGAGGAGCAGCTCGTGACGAAACGCGAAGTTCCCAGGTAGTCGGGAGGGAATGCGGCGAAGCTGGTTCCGATAGGACGGAGGTGGCCCAGCTGCGTACCACATGGCCGCGTACCCGCAGGTATGCGTGTACTCACACGGACGCCGTCCGGGCCCCAAGGTGCACGCACGCTCAGAGCGTCTCTCTCATTAAGAAGTTACGTACACCTCGTACCTAACAATCCCCCGGCGTTCTTTATCTCCAAAACGAGTAAAATGTAACAGACGATTTTATCGAAAATAACCGCACAAAGTTCCAGGTAAATCAGTGTACGGGCACTTAAAATTCCCTTAGTATCAATTTTCAAAGCGTTATTTCGGAAGAAACGAGATTCCACTTTCGAATTAAAACTTCGCACGTTTCCGCGCCCGTGTAACTGTTATCTACAGATCCGCGTGGAGCCGTTAGTTTTGCAAGCAGTGCGAGAAACTTGTTAACAAGGAGACTGGAAGAACAGCGCATTCGCATGAGAATATTTCATCTTGAAACCCAAAATAATAACTTCTTCAAGAATCAGTCACTCCTTCAAATGAATAATTCACGTTCATTTTGTTTTAGTATTTGATTTGAATATATATATATCTGGCACATTTGCTCTGCGTTCGATGTGTAGATTCGAGATTCGTTGATTTTATTACACACCCCACTAGAGATTTTTTAAAGTGAATTCCACAGGTAACTGGTTGTAGCTCGACTGGTCTGGTCTACGGCCTCTACGTTAACCTTACACAGGAACAAAACCATGCAGAAGGGTCTGACGTAAGAACGAGGACGTCCATTCGTTACAATTCCGGTCTCACGTGGAGTCTCTTCCATTTAATCTCGAGACTTCGACGCGAGCGAACGCATCAGCGCTCCCTCCGCCCCGTACTGCCTGAGTTTCAACCCCTCTTTTTGTTCCCCTAGGCTCGTAGGGGCGCGATCGTTTCTCGGACCATAATCGCGAGGTGCGTGCGTGCGAAAGTAATGATCGCACCGCCGTGATGAAATCGTTTCGCAGGAAAATCGTCTTCGAGAATTTACTGACCGATTTTATCGCAGTGCACTTACAAAACATGTTACGAGTCATTCTTCCTTTCACGATGGTATCCTCCCGTCGCACTGCATACATTTGTTAACTGAATATTTAGCAATATGTTGAAACGCTTCGAACACATTATTCTTTGAAGCTGTTTTAAATACGGTAAAACCATTTTCAGCTGGTTCGTATAATAAATTGCTTTTGGGACGAAATGGGTTAATGCTCGACGCGCTCGCACAATGTGCCCCGCACCCTTGAACGGACCTCGCGTGAATATCGCGTGCTTTTCACGCACCACCCTTGCCCTCTTCAACTCTGCTCACTAACGATGGCTCCTATCTCGCGCAACGAACAGTTTTTCACGTGTGGGCTCGCATTGGGCACTCGCGAACGAGCGTGTTACTCCCTCGTCAAGTTTCTTAATTAATACCCAGTGTTCCCTTGATTCGGAGACTTCAAGTTTAATTCATGGAGATTAATAAACGACGCGATATTGTCGCGAGAGACTTACGGCCTAGTTCCTTAGACCGTTGTCACATCGAGAATGTGTAACTATAACGAAGCGAGTGATGGCAAAGGGGATTCGTATGGTTTCTGTAGCTTTAGCATATATTCCTACCATTCTGTTATAACTTTGTACGCTTCTATTTCTACGTGGAGGCTCGAAATGCCAATATTAACGCCTATCGCTTACTTTTCTACCGTTCAGCCTCAGCCAAAGTGTACACAAGTTAATGCGGATGGCTCACAGAGTGGTGTACTTAATGGAAAACGGTCGTCCATGTTTGATAGGCGTAGCTAAACGTTCAAACTAACCGGAGTATCGTTTGCGAAGAAAGCTAAGTCGCAACGCGAACGGGGACGCCGCATTACACCGCGGTAAACGACGAATCTTCGCGAAGGTGCCCGTTGTCTCGCCCGTACGCATTGCCGGAAACAAACAAGTCAGGCTGACTGTCTCGCCGTTGTCTCGCGCCTTTGCTTGAACCTTCGTGATTCGAGCGTTACCAGTCGAAATTGTCTGAACGCGTAAACTTCGTCGTTCAATTGCAGGAACGGAGTTACTAAGTCAAGTCGTAAGTTCGCGTATCAACATGTCCGCCAGCCGTACCGGGCAAGAAACTCCTGTTTTGTTTTCGGCGCGCAGCATATCTGCACGGCAGTAAGGTAAAGTAAACGTCGTTGTCTATTTAGCGCAGCGAAATAATGCACAAAAGACGGAGCGAGAGCGTGTACATCAAAACTGCATCCGTAAAAAAGTTATGGATCGTAGACTCCGCAGGCGAAGGCTCCGGCTGACCTAAATGTAGATCAGCAGACTGCGGAGTCGCATTAATGCTTCAGGAAACTGCGAACAAAAGTTTAATCTCCCTACGAGAGGGGGATTCTATCCGGTTTTCTTCTCTTTCGCCCCCTTCGCTCCTTCTTTTTCCCCCGTTCCCCTCTCTCGCCCCGTTCGCGCTCTCTCCCAAGTTCTCCCGTAAGAAAGTTGAACCAGTTCGCAACTGCGATAACAAGAAACGTCGCGTTGCTTCCTCGCGAATTAAGAAACAAAAGCTCCGCCCTGTTGAAGGCGCAGCGACAAATGTCCGCCGAAGATTACGCATCGGCGGAAAGAACCGCGCGACCCCGTAGTTAGAATAGTTTCACTCCTAATTTATCCGTGTCGAGGACAAATCGCATCGAGGCGAATCAAAGCCGACCACTCGAGGAACTATTGTGCCGAAACCTTCGCGCGATACCTCCGCGATTGAACAATATGGAGGGGAACAGTGTTTCTCGCTGGCCTTGGACGAAATCCTCGATCCAGCCGTATCGTCGGGACGTCGTTGAATTCCGCAAGCAATAAGATGGCGTTGTTTCATCGAACATAATAGTGTTTCAAGAGTACAATCGAACTCGTGGTTATACAATGTTGTAGGAGACTTGTGTCGAAGGTCGATCTCTGATCCGAAAGATCCACGAAAACACTGAGTTTTTGTTCAGAAGAGCTCTTCAGGGGATGCGGCTTTAATTAGACAGCTTCTCGTCTCGTTTTCGATATTACTTTACCACTCGTCGATCCGGTTGTACGAAACCAATCGAAACTACGAACAAAGTA